TGGGGGTGGGGTGGAGTGGAAGTGGAGAGTATGTTTTAAAGTTTTGATGTGTTTGCATTTATATATGTTTTAAAAACCATAGAAGACGGGTGCATGGACATGTTTTTTTCTATCCTGTTTAGAATAAAGTATCTCTGTGGATTATGTTTCCTTTATCATTTGATATATTTCTTTTCTTCCAGTGCGTGCACATTTTAGGTCTTGTATTGACAGCCAACTGCTAAAGCAACACAATCTTCTCACACCAAGTGACTACATTGTGCAAGAGCCACTGCCTGTTCCAGCCCCTCAAGGTAACGAATATTATATTTTCAAAGTGTGTCATGATGTGGTGGATTCAGGGATCGTCAATTTATTGGCATATGGAGTTATTAGTATCATCTTAAACTTTGTTAATTTATCTTGCATTTTGCGAAAAAAAGAATACTCGTCTTTCTTGAATAGAAGTCAAGATATTTGTGATTGAAGGAGGTGGGGGTCACCTGATGTAAGAGGTAAAATTAATGAGGAAATAGCCGCCAAAATTTGGTTACTTTCAAAGCTTGAGTTTTTTTGGAAACTGCCAATTTACAGATTTTGTGTCTGTGATTGATGTTTTTCAATAAAATTCACACAGAAATGTGCTCTTAAATGGTCATCAAAGCTACCGAACCCAAAAAATAAGAACATTTGAATAAAATCACCCTGTGGCCAGAAAAATGCCAGTTTCCCTGATTACATTATTTTGACGAGTACCTGATTTCACCACGCTGCCTCACAAATAAGCTATTGTATTCCTTCTTCCCCCCTCATCCTCTAGTAATGTTTAGAAAGGTCTATAGATATTTTTAAAATGTATTAAGTGTAATGGGAATTTAAGGCATATCAAAGAAATAAGAAGCGTGATGTGACAATGTGTGACTAGATGTACTTTTTGCTTCTATACTCTATTCGGGACAGTTAAATTCATTTTCATTATTGCAATGCAAAGATAAGATGATGGAAAAAATTTGTTTGTTACTAACATTTTTCTCAGAAACAGAGTGTTGTGAATGCTGGCCACAGCACCGTAAGTATATTGTCCCCCCCCCCCCCCCCAAGACGTTTTAATATTGCATTCCTTGAATTTTGACACACCTTTCATTTTGATGTTTGAATTAAATTGAATTGTATGTTTTCTTCAGTATTTTCCCATATCACATGAGATATGCATTCCTTTATCTTATCACAGTGTGTTAGCCTCAAATACTAGCACTAAGTCTTTTCAATGTTGATGTGGAAGTCACAGACTCAGTTCTTTTTATCTGAGCAATGAATCTTGTTTGGTTACTGGTTGGGACTCTGAGAAGACTCATAACAAATACAAGTCATGTAAATCATCCTGGTCTACATATAAAGACCAAAAATGAAAATGTAGCTGCTTGTCACGCTATTTGAATTTTCCTGAAAAGTGGCAATTTGTTTTCATTTGAATGAAGCAGCAGCCAGAAAAATGTGTGACTGTTGAAGTTCTTCGTGAAATAGTGGTGGATTTTAAGGGTTAGGGAGGCTAGTAAAATGAAAATTATCCGCAAACAAGTGTAGAAAACTTGATTGTGGTAGATTTTGAACTTGATTCTCATGAAGACACCAATATATAAGGATTCTCTGACAGGCTGGATCTAGGGGCATGGGTAAATCTGTGAAAACTAAAGGGGACATGTGGTTGCAAGGAAGGGGGCTGTGTGTGAGTCAAAATCAAAGTTAGTTACAGCAGGTCATCATTAAAACAACTTGTAATAATCTTATCACATAATAATTTTGTGGCATACTAGGACAAAACTGATATTCTGTAAAAGCATATTTACAAACTTAATTATCATCAAGCCTCGTTAAGATGTGAAGGTATATATGGAATAATAGTACTTTAAAGTATCCGTCCTTAATTTCATTTGATAAATGTGACCAATACATTGTCCAAGTTTGCATGCTCAGAACAAAAACTCAAAACATTAACAATGGTGATTTCAGGAGATCTGAACTTCACTACCTGTAAATATGTAATTGAAAGTATTGTTGCAGCACCGAATATTACCTTGACTTTGATAGCAATGAAGATTTTATAGCAATGAAGGCTTCTACAGTGTACTCAAGAGTAACTGTTGTGGCAAAAATGTACTTATAGGCTATTTGATTTCATGTTCAATGTGGAAATAAATGTTTTGAAAGTCACCTTGAAATGAGTTCTAAAGAGTAAGAAGAGTTTGAACTAATGTCAGTTACATACGAAGGTTTTACATTTATCAATAGGTAAAGAACTTTTTTTCTTTGCAGGACCAAAAATTCCAGACTATGCGCGGGACACACTTGCTTCACGTCAACACAGTCGTCAGAACACAAAGTTAGAAGGAGAGGTTCCTTTAGCTTGGATGCCTGGGGAAAGCATGGAGTTTCCAACATTTGTATCAGATATTGACATTCGAGAAGAAACAGAGGAGAAGGAAGATAAGAGCTCAAAAGTGGTAAGTAATGTTTCTGCGTA